TGTGAGTCATCCGTATTTAAATACCAGTGATCTGAGCTTGTCTAAGTGGGCTTTTCCCAGGTTATGCAATAATTACAGCAATTCTAGAATTAATGCAACACAACAAAAGACATTTAAAAAATTTAAGCGATTACTCTCTAGTGAGGAAACTGATACCGAAATACAGAAAATAACCCAAACCCTCCCCTCCCCTCCCCGCCCCCCTCCCCCTGCCCTGTTCCCAGCACAATATCTTGTCGCAGACTCTGTGTCGACACAACACCAAAACCACCATGTGCTGCTGCCTTTGATGAAAATTATACTTGAATTCCAGATTAAAATTATCGGCAATTAAAAGATGGGATAGAATGAAAGAAAAAACATCCACAGAATGATAAACTTAGAATGAACTTGTTATGGGTTAACTGTGTCCCCCGAACCCCGCCAACAAAAAGCGATGCTGAGGCCCTAAACCCCAGTTCCCGTCTTGATAGATGTATCAAGCCACGACGAGGTCAGAATGGATCACGACGGGCCCTCATCGAAAGGCTGGTGTCCTCATAACAGGCGGCAAATTTGGACATAGAAACATGAGGTTGGGGGGAGAATGTTACAGGAAGACAGAGGAAGAGATGGGAGGGATGCAGCTACGAGCCAGGGAACACCAAGGACTGCCTGCAGCCACGAGGAGCTGGAAGCAGCAGGAAGGATCCTCCCTCAGAGCCTTCGTTGGGAGCGCAGCCGCACAGACACCGTGACTTTGGACTCCTGGCCTCCAGAACTCTGAGAGAGTATGTTTCTATTGTTTTAAGTCACCTAGTTTGTGGTCATTTATTACAGCAGCTGCAGGGAACTAAGAAGAACTTAAAAGATCTTCAACCAATGGGGAAAAGGAAGCATGGGGAGATTGCCACCTGCCCCTCGTCAAGTATGTAATGCCACTAGGATCTGGGCCCCTGCAGCGGGTCCAGGACGCTTCCCACTACCTCCAAGTCATTCACAGATAAATAAAGATAGTTCTTTAAGAAAGAAAGTCACTGCGACTCAAACAGCAGCGTGCAGAGCGGTGAAGTGCTTAGACTGTGGACTGGGGCAGACCTGATGGATAAGCCCGCTCAGGCACTCATCCGTGTGACTTGGGCCAAATGACTTGGCCTCTCTGAGCCTCAGTTTCCCCATCTGAAAACCAAGTCAAATAACCGTACATACTTCAGCAGGTACATGCTGTTGTGAAGAGAAAATGAAGCGATCCAGGCAAGACGCTTAGCATGGTGTCCAGAACCCAATAAGCCTGAAATCAAGGTTAGCTATCAATACACAGTTGTTAACCATTTCTCAGACTCTGTCTCTCCAAGTTGTTTGGAGCGGATTCCTTGGCCTGGCCTTTCACAGTCCTCCATAATAAAGCCTTTGATGTTGAATTACTGCTCCAAAGCTCAGGAAGGGCATCTTTCCCCCGAAAGGAGCTGGTGGGAACCGAGCTTTGACTTTCTGGCTCTTTCCATCCCAGTGGTCCATTCTTTCTTCATTGTCCTTAGTCGTTTACCGTCTCAATTTTTTCCATCAAATTTCTTCTTGCTGACCCTTTTTCAGCCTCCCCTGCAGTGAGCTTAATGTAATTTGAGGACACTGGGTGGCTTATTCTGAAAAGGACAAACTTTTAAATTGTATACGACAGACACATATCTTCAATCCAAAATCTCCCAGATAACTGGGTACTAAGAAGCAAGTAAGCCCACGTGCCATGATTAAAATGTGAGTCCCCCAAATAATTCGTTAGCTCTTCACATACATTCCAATGTTTAAATCCGAGACACATTTTGCTGTTTTATCTCTATTAGTGGAGATGACAGAAAATCTTTCAACAGAAACCCCAAAAGACTTTTTGAAGCCATTACCAGGTATATAGCCTCAGACCTTCAGCTTCTTCAGTTGGATTTATTGTGTTAGCGTGGAAGTCTTTTTTTAAAAAAAAAATGGAAACTGCTGTAATTATAATCACTTTAGAACACCATTATTATTATTAATAAGACCAAATTACATGGTTCAAGCAGCTGTTGGTTCTCCACTGCTAGAGAGAAGTCACAGAATGGTGTCAGAGCCTCGGCGTTCATCTCCATGCCAACGTGAGGCTGCTCACACACGGCCCTCCGGGCGCATGACTGCGATGTCTTGAAGGGTGTCAGGCAGAATGAGGGACCCCTGTTCTTGATTAAAGCATTCAGGGAATGAGCACATTTCCAACAGTTGCCTTTCCCATGGGAGAGCAGGGATGGCGGGGCTCTGGTTCCTGTTGAATCTTCCCACATGGTCGCTCCTATGCACACCTGGATCCAATTATTCACGAAGCTGAGCCTTGAGCTTTGCCTGCAAGGAAGGGGACTCGATGGAGGGAATGGCAGGGACTGGGAGAGTCCAGTTTGTGTCACGTGTTAAGTTCCTAATACCCTGGGGTGTACGGTTCAGGGATCTCTGGCTGAAAAGGGTGACAGGAGGCCAAAAATCAAAGAAAAGAAGTCGGAAGGGAGGAAGGGAAGGGACCAGGTATCTGCCAGGTCATTGAGAACTTGGGTTCTGGAGTCCAGCTGCCTGGGTTCAACTTCTGGTGCTTTCCTTTTTCCTTGTCCCGTTGCCCTGGGAAAGTCATTCAACCGCTCCAAGTCTCAGCTGTCCCATCCCCTGTATCAGGGTAAGAACTTGGAGATGTTGTGAGGATTTCCTACAGTGGCACATTAGGCACACGGCACAGTGCTAGCCACGAGGGGAGCCCTCCACACTAGCTATGACTATTATTTAATTTTCAAAAAATTCTTGATTATTTACTGCTTGAATGTACAATTCCATTTTTCTCGCCACCTAAGCAAGTTTTCTTTTAGGCTTCAGAGAATTAGCAGAGAACATATGCGTGACTCTCGGCGATGAACAGAGCAGGAAAAAACTTCCTTCAAGTTCAAAAGTCCCCCCATGGCTGCCCCCTCTTGCCTGCTGCAAATACCTGACTGGTGGTCGGAGATGTTTCAGGGGCAGGTAGGCAAGAAATGAATCCCGATGCAGTCGTCATTAACACCTAAGAGTTTACAGTAGGCATCTGGAAAGCGCACACGTGAATTCTATAAAGCAGCTTATTACTAAATCAGGCCAAGAAGGAGGCACAGAATATTTCACTTCCCATCAAGTGTAAAAATTAAATCCGGATTGTTTAAAACAGCCCTCCCCGGAAACATGCGAATGTGTAACTGAGAACTAACCTTGAATGAGCTATTTCCTTGGCCAAGGTAAAGATATCAGCATAAGATACTCAATACATTCTTGTTAATTCATTAAACTTCATTATTTTAGAGTAAAGGTCATTGGATTAATTAATAAAGACAAACTATTATTTAGAAAAGTTGTTTTGTTTGTTTGTTTGCAAGCCCAAGAGAAATATTTTCTCGTTCTTCTAGATGCTTTTTTTCCTTCCCCTCCTCTCTGGACCCAAACTGCCCAAATTTACTTTACTTTAGTTGAGAGAATTCCCTTCCACTTAAAACATCAAGGCACACATTTCCCAAGTGGTGAATGATTTAAGGCCTGTTCCAAAAGATTATCCTTGGGCCACAAAAAGAGGTTCACACTATCTCATGAAATCTTGGGAAAAGTGAAATGTACCAGGTTCTCACACCAGCGCGTGTTCTCACGTGGTGGCTTTTATCAGCTCCAACCTCTTGTCAAGTTAAGCTTCCTCAGCTGACTCTCCACACCCCCCCTCCCCCTGCTCTCCAGCCACCATCCACCCGAGGAGATGCCAAAGACAGGGCTTAGATGAAAGGCAACTAGAATCAAAGTTTTGAGCCGAAATACATTTTTGAAGGCTTTTCTTTTTTAAACTAATTAAACAAGTATAGAAGTTATTCAGTAGAGTTTCTTTTTTTAAAGAGATTAGCATGGCATGTCTTTCCTCTTAAGAAAGTCTTGAATAATTTAATTAGAATTACACCAAAGTCATGAGTATGTGCTATTTATGGGGGAATCATGGCTGAATTAAAACCCAAATGACAATGTTAAAAATAAAGTATCTTCAGACACCGTATTCGATGGATAAGAAAAACTTGACTTCAACTCACAGATTAGGTAGTTTCGAAGGAAGGAGGAGGGGGCCAAACCAACTCCTGGGATTTTGTTTTTCTTAAGATGACCGGGCCTGGGCACATTTGTTTCTTGCTACAAAAAGTGCTAATAATTGAGAATGAGGATAAGATCGCTGTTTGATTTTATTTCTATTTTGTCACTGGGAGACCTCTTGGTACCCGGAAGCCTGGCTCAGCGCATTTTTTTTTCCCCCAGTCCCTTTACTGCATTTAACACGTTCCCCACACGTGTGTAGACTCTTTGATCGGCGCAGAGGGGCTAAGCAGCAGGGCCAGCCCAGAGGAAGCTGACCAGCCAACTCCGAGAGAGGAAAGTGGAGCCGGGGAAACGCTGCTCCCTCCGCGAGCAGCCAGCGAGCGAGTCTCCTTGGGCAGGGTTGCTCTGAGCTGAGATAAAGCAAGAATCCCTTTGAAAGGGTACTGCGCCTTTGGAGGCCGTCCACGAGCCTCCTTAGCGATGAGACAGCGCGGGGGTAGGGGGCGGGAATATTAACGCTAAGTGATTCCCCCGGTAACAGCAGCATCGCTCCCTGGGCCCACCGCAAGGTCTCCTCGCTGAAAAGACGTGTCGCTCGCCAGAAGGCAATCCCATTAGAGGGAAGTTACAGGTCTCTCGCCTCGCAGCCACACGGAGACGGAGAGCTTAACAAGTTCTGAAGCGCTTGCACACACCTCCGGCTGCGCCCGGGCCAGGACTGCCACCGCTCCGAGTCCCGAGTGCGCGCGCCCCGGCTCCCGGTCCGGAGCCCCTCTGCGTCCCCAAGATCTGCTCTCCGGGGACAGCTGTTTTGGGGGCGACGCTAAGCTGCGTGGAGGCACAGCTGGGCGCCCCCAAGAGCCCCCCGGCTGCAGGGCGCCCGGTCCGAGCGGGCTGGTGAGCGCGCACCGACCTACCTTCTGCGGAGGCGTCCCGATCAGCATCTCCAGGTAGTAGCCGCGGCCAGAGTCCCCCTGCAGGTTATCCACCATGGCCAAGAAGTTGGCTGCACCCCCGGCGGGCTCCAGGGCGAGCGCCAGGCCGTCCGCGCGGGGCTCGGCGGGGGGTCCGGGCCCAGGGGTGGGCGCCGCCCCGCGGCTGCTGGCCGATGCCACCCGGAGAGGCAGCGTGAAGGGCGCGGGGGCCGGCGCCGGGGCCGCGCGCAGCAGCCACTGGGCCAGCAGCGGCAGCAGCAGCGCCCGGGCCAGCGCGCCCATGCCCGCGGCGGGGCTCGGGGGGCGCGCCTGGCCGGGCCCGTCCCGTCCGGCGACAGCGGCTCAGCGACTCTGCGGCGCGCTGGGCTGCGGGGCAGGGCTGGGCGCGCAGCGGGGCCGGCGGCGGCGGCGGCGGACGGGAGGAGGACCGGGGAGGAGGCGCCGGAGCCGCTCCAGCCCGCGCCAAGTTAAGCAAGTTGGTCGCCGCTGCCCCCTCTGGCGGGCAGCGGCTGCCCCGCAAGGACCGGGCCCCTCCCTCCTCCCCGGCCAAGGTCAAAGCGAGGCGCGTGGTACGCCCGGGTCCACCCAGGCCTGCCCTGTTCACCCTCGCTTGTCTTGGGCCGCGCCTCTTCTCCGGGAAACTCGAGTCCCCAGTTTCCTCGGAACGCGCCCCGGCTGCCACGGCCAACGGATGTGACGAGACTCATCGGATACCAGGGGGGAAAGTTTCGGGAACCCTTAAAGGGGCAGCGAGGGCCTCAACTGGCTCCTTGGCCGCGCGCGCCCGGCTGCCCCGCCGGTGTTCCCTGGCCCCCTAGTGGCGGGGACTTCCAGGGGTGACGTGGGGGTCAGAGGGAAGCGTAGAGAAACGCAGAAAAGCCGCGAGCATCTCTAGGAGTGAAAGAGTCTGCGCCTCCCCTCGCCAAGTACGTCCCTGCAGCCCTGCAGCCGCCCGCCTCCTGGGGTCCTGCTGCTTCTCGGGGCCTCTTCTGTGCCCACCCCCTCCAGCCCCGTTCCTGCCTATCCCCCGTCCCCACTTTGGGGGCCCCTGAGTGATTTTGAAGAGGTCTGAGTGGAGGCTGGGAGAGGCAAGGGTTGCGGGAACCCGGGGAGGACGCGAGAGCTTTGGAGACTTCTCTCTAGAAATCTGGGGGAGGTAGGGGGCTTGGCTGCTGTAGCTGCACCAGCCTCGGTTCTCCCTTTGCGCCCACCGTTTGAGCCGGGGAGGTGGCGTCCGCAGCTGGCTTTGAGCCTGGGCTTCTCCGCCCACTGCTCGACCGTAATGCAGATGCGATGCTGCCAGTAGCTGCTCCTTCACCTGCCCCAGGATTCCCTCAGTCCACCCAGCAAGTTACAGTCATCATCCAAAATCAGGGCCATTGAATTTACAGCTCTGCCTCCATTCCCCGCCACCCCCCCCCCCCCCCACCGCTTCCCGCTCCCCCCGGGCTCTCCGCGGATTATCTAATTAATACTTGTTTAGCCACAGACACCGAGACCCAGAAATGCGTTCAGTAATGCGAGCCACAAGGGTTTTTATTTTATTTTAGATACGAAACGCAGGGGAGACAATTCCATAAGCTAAAGTCCATCGATTTCTACGGAAACAAGAAGTAGAAAATTCTACCTCCTCCAGCTGAATTGCGTTGGCTGTTTTAAAAAAAAAACAAGCCCATCTTCAAACAGCGGGGAGGTTGGAGGAAAGCTTCCCTCCTCCCTGTAGCTTCCAGTTACTTCTACTCAAGATTTGATTTTTATTGCTGTCTTCCCAATTTTAGAATCAGGTCTAGCTCTGCAAGGGACCCTTATGTCAGAGATCTTCAGCTGTATTGATTTTCAGATGGCTTTAACTATAAATCACATTTCCCCAAACTATATCCCAACTATAACGAATCCCCAGCCACACAGAGAAAGGCCTGGTTGGGTCCCGTGATATAACCTAAGTTGATATTCCCCATAAATCTGCATAGTTATCCCAGAACTACTACATTCATATATTCACATTTCAAATTCAAGGTTGTAGAAGAAGTGTAATTTTTTTCAAAAATGGTTATTTATACTCTTCAATGTCCAGTCTTGAGGGGTTTCCAAGACATCCAGACAGTTCTCAGAAGACTGTAACCTTGTAAAAAGCCCGTGAAATTTATTAAGGACACTGACATATGGGCTACATGACATAGAAGTTGCAACATTGGAGACCTTAGCTCTAGTAATTAAACAGCACAAGAGAAGTTTTTAAAAATCCAGTCTAATTAAGGTTGGTCCTTCAGGAAACTCCAGACTCCATCTAGTATGAGTATCCATGAGCTTTTCATTTTAAGGGGGCTAGTTTAGGTTTGTGAGTAAACAAGTGCAGTAGGTATAGTCACAGAGAAACTTGTGCAGTTTTAATGGAGGGCAGAGCTGCCGTGTCAGAAAATGATGCAGGCAGAAGGGACAGCATCTGATGACCGTACCCTTTGTGGTCTCTGTTTTTATGAATGGTCTTAGAGTTCTTGGTCCCTACTCAGAACTATGGTGTTGGCTGGATTTGGGGAACAATCATTTTACCTCCCAGGTGTTTTAACTGAAATCGTGTGTGGCAGTCTTCCTGTTGGCTGGCTTCGGGTTTCCTTTACAGCATCCTTGAAGGGCTTCTCCAAGAAAGAAGCCACTTTCCATGGTGCTGGTGACCCATGCAGTGGGGAGGGAGGAGGTGACCCCCTCACTCCTTGATAGCAGCCCCGCATCCTCTCCAGACTGGCCCATGCTCCCTCACCTCACCCATAGCCTCCCCTTCTCCCCCTCCCTCCCTCCAGCCTGAGCACCTCCATTTTCAGCCATACACTTCCTTGGTCCATTCAGGAAAACCAAAGCCCTACAGTGAGATGGACCCTCCCTCCTTGCAAAGAGCAAAAACCATCATCGTGTCCCTGGACAGCAGGAGGTGAGGAAGGGTCTCACCCCCCAGCCCAAGGAGCTCACCAGGGATTCCTTCCAGGAATACGAGGTGCACTTGGCCAGAAAGATTGTCATTGATGCGTATGTTGATGTTCCCTGGCTCTTAGGACTAGCTCTGAGTTCCTTTTATACCAGCAGTTCTCAGACTTTTTGGTCTCAGGCCCCCTTTACACTCTTAAAAATTGAGGACCCCAAAGAGCCTTTGTTTATGTGGATCATATCTACCAATAGTCAGCAAATGAGGAACTAGAACTGAGACATTTTAACAGTATGTAGTCATTCATGTAAAAATCATAATAACAAACCCATCACACCACAAGATCGATAACATTTTAATGAAAACTAACTTCTGAGAAAAGTTAGAAGTGACATTATTTTGCATTTTTGCAAATTCCTCTCTGCCTTAATAGGAGGCAGCTGGATTCTCATATCTGCTTCTATGGTACATTCAGTCTATTACGAAGTCTCTAGAAAATTCTACCAACAGGCAGGAGAGAATGAGCGTGAACAAGGAAATAAAAAGAGTTTTGAGCTAAAGGACCCCCTGAAGGGTCAGACCACACTTTGAGAACAGTTGTTTTGCACTAGCTTTCTATGGTTTCTATGTTTGCATCTTAAGTCCTTCTCAATATATAAAGATTCCTTTGTACCAGGCACTGTGTCAACAACTGGGCGGAAAAGGCAAGATAAGAGCTGGTCCTTACGTTTGCGGACTAGATGGAGGGGCGCTTTCCTTTATCCTAGCGGCGGCCCCCCCAGACTTAGCAGGAGGGGGACCCAGGCCACCTGCAGCCCAGAGGAAGCTTGTGGATTCATCTCTTCATTCCCCTGCGGCTTCATGTCCCACCTGCCCCCAGGCTCCTTCTCAGCAACTTAAGAAAGTTGAAGTTAAAGGCTCCTCTTCTCTGCTTTTTAAACCTGTAGTGATCCTGCCTCTCTGCAGCTACTGCTTCTGATGCCCCCCCACTGGAAATGCTGCCTGCACCCCTCGTCCCAACTTCTTCCCCTCCCCCACTCACTCCTCACCTCCCACTCTGCGCCCACACATTGACAGGCTGTGTCCCTGTGGACAGTTCTCCATCCTTGTCCCTACCCACCCCCTTGACAGCATTGCACACTGGGCTCTTCATCCACGCCTGGCATTTTCAAGCCTGACTCTTCACTAGGATCACTGGGGATCCTGCCTGTGCCTTGAGGCAGAGCTCCAGAATTGCTAGTTTTCAAAGCTTCCAGGAGGATCTGGAATCTGAGCCTGGAAGAAATGAGATAAAACGTCAGATGGAAGAGGCTCAGTGCCCCCATAATCCTGAAATTTCAGTATGCATCCCTGAGGTCTTTCAAATTCAAAAAAACGATTCCTTGCTGTGTTGACTGAAAAGACCTAGAAAACGTGAGCATCCCCAGTGCCTGAATTAGGGTTTCTAAATATCATTTCCCTCTATACCAGGCCTCCTTGGAGAAGGCTGACTCCAGGCTTGGAACAGAAACCCAACAAGATGACCCTGGGACATTCTGTCATACCAGAAAGTAAGGATGTTATCAAAGATTCCTGAGGTCCTATCAGGAGCTGGGGCAGAGCTGCAACAATTGAAACATCATTAAAAGTAGTAATTGCAATGGCTCAGAACACTTCAATTATGTTGAAACTTATTCGTTCATAATGTTCTTTTAAAAAGTCCATTGTTTATCTTTGAAGAATGCTGAGGAACCCAATTCATTGTTTTTAAAAACTGGCAGAGAAAGGAAAAGAATCGAGCATTTATTATTTTGACTTTTTTGTACAAACCATGCCTCAGTGGAACCAAATAACTGATGAAGGGAAATTCCTCTTTATAGAAGTATTGCAGCTAATAAGTGAAGGAATGATTGAATTAGACTGTTGTCATTTTGCAGCCCCTGAAGAATTAATGGATCTGGGCACTGAGCACACACAGCTGATAACAGCACACAGCATTCTGTGCTTCCTGATGGAAGGCCACCATGCTGCCTGTGAAATGTTCTGGTCAAAAAATCAAACCTGAATCTCATTAAGCCTCTAGACCACAGGTTGGCAAACCGTATCCTGGGAGACAGATCTGGCCTGCTGCCTGTTTTGGTTAATAAGGCTTTGTTGAAAAAAAAAATAATAATAAGGCTTTGTTGAAACACAGCCACACCTATTTGCTGAAGTAGTTGCAACAGAGACTGTATGGCCCTTAAAACCTAAAATATGTACTGCCTAACCCTTTATAGACAAAGTCTGCCAACCTGCTCTAGATCACAAGGGTCCCAAGACCCTTATCAATCAACTGCAATTTAGGGACTTTATTTAGATCCCGATTTGAACATATTGAAAAAGTTACTTATGAGACAGAGACATTTGAACACTAGTTGGATGATGTGGAATTATTAACACTTTAGATGTAATAATGGCGCTGAGCGTGTGTGTGTGTGGAGTTCTCATCTAGTGGGGGCATATACTGCCGTGTTTACGAATGAAATGAGGTTTGTTTCAAAATAATATGGGTTGGTGGGGAAAGTACCAGGCAGGGTTCTCAGTGAAACAGATAATCCTAATAACTAACCCTATCCACAGGCATCATTATTATTCCCATTTTACAGATGACAACCGAGGCACAGATTCAAAATCTGAGTTCTGATTTCAGATCCTGTGCTCTTCGTCACAGGGCTTGGGCCACCCCTTTGATGTGGATTTTCTGAAGATCACAGGATGGTCGAGCTGGGAAGGACCTCCAGAGGAACACCTGCCGGGGAGAGCCTACCAACAGCGTCCACGGATCCACGTCGCTCCTTTAAAAGACATACGTTGAGTGCCCCTCTGTGTCAGA